CCGAAAAACTGTACTCCCGAAGGGACTACTTTTTTGGTCTCAAACCTCATATGGGTTGTGGAAATATCATTTTTGATTTCAGGGACGAATCAAAATAAACTGCAGTACATATGTAATAATTTGTCTTACACTTGCGCTGAGAGACAATTGACGTAAATGGCCATCGAGATGTTGTTTAATGTGACAGAGCCGTGCGTGCAACTTGTTTTGCCCCAAATAGTCTCCTATCCTCAAATGTCATCGAGTCCATTGCTCCGCTGACCCATGTAAACATAATATTTTGAATAGATACGAAGTTACAAACGCGATCGTAATTGGTCATATAGCTGCACGCCCATTTCGTTTGTGGTTGTTTCCCAAGCATACAATACCCATAGAACGGTTATTATGGTTTTGTAATTTATTGCATCAGATACGCTCATTGCGTAGATAAGCGCCAGTAAACCTTTTTGAATTTCTGAAATACATAAGAACAACGACAACTTCCATGTCTTTGTGCACGTAGTACATGTATTAACGCTAACATATATGCACCAATCAGTGGCTTGGCTGTGAGCCATACACGTTTTACTAACTTTCCACAATAGTTCAATATTGGAAGAAATTTGAATGGTATCTTTGGGGCAACCACGTATACACGTTCTAATTATGTGTCGATCACCTAAACGACCTGTGCAAGATATTATAACACACGCTTGATACCGTTTCAACAACAAACAAATCATAACTTGAGTGTACAACGGTAAGACCCGTACGGATATCCGAATTTGAATCAAACGAGTAAGATCACCAATTCATTAATACTGGACACCTAGTGGCTACTATTTTAACATTACTCAAATCAAAAAAATTACCTGGGAGATATATATTTCGTACAGTTGACTTAATGACAAAATCAACGGAAATATCACGTGTAACTGAAACCCACGCAAACAACCTTCACAGCTGTTTCCAAAGAGGAGCATGACACGCGAAAACAACAAAATATCCAGTCGATGATAGAAAAAGTTAAGGTATAACGCTTTACGAGCCTCTACATATGAATAAGAAGTTACAGAACGGTGGTTGTCATGCAAAATAGAACGCGTTGCAAAATTAGAATACGCAACTGCACGACGAATACCATTCTTTTAAACCTCGCCTTGGCGGGAGTGATGGTGAGAAAGATATAACTTTCCAAAAAAAAAAAAACGGCAGCAACGTCGACAAACTGTTTTGGACGTGCAAGGTCTTCGGGTTTTAGCAGTCAATAGCAACGTGGTAAACACTGTATCCAACAAGCAGGGAGAACTTAGGGACTGTCCCGATGACCTACTAGCAATTGTACCAACTCAAGTGGAACAGAACCTTGCAGACAATATAAAGAAAGAATACAGTGTTTACAGAATTCAATAAATCGTGGTAGCTAAGCAACGCGTTCTATTTTGCATTCATGCAAGTTATTTAATGAACCAATTTCCAACCCTTCTGTGACAAAATGAATGTTATATTGCTTCGTCCAAATAAATATAAATCACAATTTGTGTGACTAATTCAAAATAATGCATGTATAAATCTATTCGGTAAAACAATCTAACAAACTTGTTTGTCATTTTGTGGACGCGATATGCAGCTAAAATCAGCTGATTGTATCTGGTGACGTTTACTTAATAATATCACTTCAAAGTTCTTCTCTGACTTTTAAAAATTGTGCTGGCTAGACAGCCTCGAATGATGTGTCAGTATTTGTGTGGGTACTATCGTGGATCTTTCTCTTGTCAAGAAAACTTACAGTGTGCATATCTTCATTATCTGTGTTTACAAATGACAAACATTAAAAGTAATCCTATTTGCCATTATCTAGACTTTGTTCAGATACGTTTGTCAGTAATGAATATTTAATGAAGAGGTTATGCTTTTGTTTAAGGAAGAGAAAAACATGCATTTTTGTTACCAGACAAAAACATTCTTTTCAGCAAAAATAAATATGACACGACATAAAGTTAATGCCAAAATGTTCGTTTTTCCCAATTTTGAAAAGAAAATTGAAAAGTCCCCCCATCTCGCTACCTTAAGCTGGTTACTATTTCACTTTGAAAACTGGTCACATAGAAAAGTGTGAAAGACAAATTGATCATAAAAATACTGTGAAAATCGAAATGTGGCTACACAATTAAGCGTAAATATTCATTGCCACACGATATTACTTCTACACGTTGTGTCATGTAAGCTCAATGCTTGGATTAACGTCAATATATATGGGATTTTATAAATTCCGAATGCTTGGGAACAAAGCAAGCGTTTATACTTTATGCACATAGTAAAATATAGCAATAGCGACTGCATACATTTGTACGGCCAACCAGTAGCTTGGCTGGGAGGAATAAATGCTTAATTGACGTTACACAATGGTTCAGTACTAGCAGTGCTTTGCAATAAATGCTTGACTGACGTTACACAATGGCTCAGTACTAGCAGTGCTTTGATCGGTGTTCTCCTAAACAATAGCTCAAACTGTATTTACGTATACTCTTTTTTGTCCGCGTACTGACATTTTAAATCATCACATGTTGCAGAAATCACGATATTGTCAATTATTCTACCACACATATCTCACTTCGTGTGTTCATGCGCCAAGCGTGTTTGCTTGAATTTGTAAACAGCGTGTGCAAAGTAATGTTTGTAATAATTTGGCTTACACCTGCAATAAGAGATGTTGTTGAATGCGAGAGAGCCATGCAACTTGTTTTGCACCAAATAGTCTCCTATATACAAATGCCATTGAGTCCATTGCTCCGATGACCCATGCAAACATAGTATTTCGAAGTTACAGACAATGGTGAGCACGACTCGTGATTGAAATTGGTCCTATGCAAAGTAGAAGACGCGGTTTAAACCCCAAATTCGGTCACGTACTGCGCAACTAACACTGAACTTTTTAATCTCACCTTGGAGGGCATAAGGCTAAAATGCAATGAATTAACCTGCGTGAGTCGTGTGATAAGTCTACTCAACACAACAAGATAAACAATTGAACCTAGTAGCAGGAGAATCTGAGGGAGCTCTCCCGATGATATGCCAACTTTCGTAATTTATTGCATCAGATACGCTC